GGATGGGGATGTTTGGGTTATCCCTGGATGGGATATTTGGGGTATCCCTGGGTGGAATATTTGGGGTATCCCAGGGAATGAAGATGTTTGGGGTATCCCTGGGGATGGGGATGTTTGGGTTATCCCTGGATAGGAATATTTGGGGTATCCCTGGGTGGAATATTTAGGGTATCCTTGGATGGGGTATTTGGGATATCCCTGGATAGAGATATTTGGGGTATCCTGGGATGGAATGTTTGGGGTATCCTTGAGTGGGATATTTGGGGTATCCCTGGGTGGAATGTTCAGGGTATCCCTGGGGATGGGGATGTTTGGGGTATCCCTGGGGATGGGGATATTTGGGATGCGGCCGTAGCGATTGGAAAAGGGGGTTTGCAGCAAGAGCCTCTGGAAAAATCCAAGTATCCTGGGATAGGGTGGCTTTGGGAACAGCGTGGGAATGGCTGCCAGGGGAATTTGCATCCTCACCACAGCAGAGAGCAGGGATCCAACTGCATCGTGTGGAAAGGGATGGATGCAATCCAAACAGGGAGCAGGGATCCAACTGGATCATGTGGAAAGGGATGGATACAATCCAAGCAGGGAGCAGGGATCCAACTGGATCATGTGGAAAGGGATGGATACAATCCAAGCAGGGAGCAGGGATCCAACTGGAACACGGGGAAAGGGATGGATGCAATCCAAGCAGGGAGCAGGGATCCACGTGGAGAACATGGAAAGGGATGGATGCAATCCATGCAAGTCCCTTTCCATGCTCCATCTGCAGCCAGGTGGCACCTCCAGAGTTTTTTATGGAATTGCTGATGCTCCAGGAGGTGATTTATCCACACACATTGAACTTTCCCAAGGATTTAGTGCAGGGAAGAGGGGGATTCAGGCTCTGGCTCAGAGGGATGATGCAGACAGGTGGGTTTTTCTGGGAATTGCGCATCTGGGAGATGTGGAAGGAGCAAGAGAGGAGCTGGGAGCTGGATCCATGTGCATTCCAAGCTCCAGGGGTGGGTTTGGGCACCTCTGAGGGAATTTTGGGTGGAAAAGCAGGGAGCAGACCCAGCCCAGCTGCTCCCCCAAGTCCTTCCATGTGCTCCCAGGGATCCGGCAGCTCCAGCCCGGGGCTCGGGAAGTCACAGAGGGCAGAGTTTGGGGCCTCCATGCAAAGTATTCCCAAAAAACCCCTTTGGAGAAGCTGGGAGACCTCTGGAGAAGCTGGGCCAGAGCTTTCCCGGGAAGACACCCAGCCCTGGATGGGCTCCAGCCCCACCCACAGTTCCGTGGATCTTAATAAAAATACAGATATAGAGAATTAAAAAATATCACCCAAAAAAACCCTGTGGAAAAGTTGGGAGATCTCCTGGAGAAGTTGTCCCAAAGTTTTCCCGGGAAGGTACCAGCAGGGGGCATCCCTGGGCTGGATCATCCCCCTAATTCCATGGATCCCTGTCAATACATATGGATATGGAGTAGATATATTAATGCAAAATTGGTATATTTAAATGAATAAATTTAAATAGAAGCATCAACTATATTTATTTAGCTTTATTATTATTTTATTTCTATTAATTTATTTATTGTTATATATTTATTTTCTTTATATGTGCTATATGCTAATGTATAGTACATTTAATAATATAAAATAGAGATTTATTAAAATTTAAATATATATAACTCTACGTATGTTAAAATATATTAATATATATAATACATATTTATATCTAAAATATATTTATATTTATATATAATTAACATGTATAACTATACGCATGTTAAAATATATTAAAAATAAAATAAATTAATTTATCAATATATGAACACATATACAATATATCGAAAATAATGTAAACATATAACAAATCTGTAAAACATATGAATTTAAACAATAAATCTATAGAATATATGTATGTAAATATAGACGTGTTAAAATGAAAATATATTATAATAAATTGAAATAAATTGAAACATGGCTATATAAATATATATATAAATTATATATAATACATAAGCATCTATAAATATATATAGTTATAAATATGAATATATAAATATATGTAGCATATATAAAATACATAAAAATACATTTAAACGTATAAAAATTAATATCTATAAAATATATGTGTATATAAATACAGATGTGTTAAAATATATAGAAAATACGTTTAAATAAACTGAGATGTAAATATATAAGTATATAGTATAAATATAAAGATAAATACCAATATATAAAAATAAATGCATAAAATGTACATAGATGTGTTAAAATTAAAATATATAGAAAATAAATTGAAGTAAACTGAAATATAATGATATGAATATATATAATATATATGAAATATAAAAATAGATATAAATATGTAAAAATGTATATGATGTGTTAAAATTAAAATCTATCAAAATAAATTGAAAGACACTGAAACACAAACATATAAACATGCACAATATGTATAAAATGTGTTTAGTTATCTAAAAATAAACCGATACAAACACACCCCTTCCCTTCCCTTCATTGTTCAACGCCAAATATTTCAAGTTCCTCCCAAATTCTCGCCCCACGCCCCTAAAAACAGGTTTTTTGGGTTCCCGCGGCAGCAGAACTGGGAAAGACCCGGCCCAGGGAGGGGCTCGTTTGCATAGATTTGCATAAATTTGCATATTTGCATGAATTTGCGTGTCAATCCCCGTGCAGGAGGAGGCTCCAGGAGCATTCCCAAGGGAGCATTCCCGGGGCTCAGGGGCTCCTGGAAGGGCTGGATCCGAGGAGTTGGTCTCCCAAACATTCCCGAGGGCCTTTCCCGGAGGGATGAAGCTCCGGCTCCACGATCCAGGGGCTGGATGAGATCCCTGTGCCCCCCCCCAGCATCCCAAAGATCTCCCGGGGGAATAAACCCACTTGGATGGACTTTTCTAGGGATTCCATGGAATTTCTTCCCAGCAAAGAGCTGGAAATCCACCCTAAAGTCTTGGATAATTAATGGCTAAACCTAATTATCTATTAATGACTTAATTTTCGTATCAATAAAACCACCCCCAAACCCTTGGATAAGTGTGGGGAAAAAAGGTTCTAAGGTGGATTTCTGGGGGGGCTCTGGGCTGGTTGTGGCACAGGACCTGATCCCAGGGGGATAATTAATGATGCAACCTAATTATCTATTAATTAATTTATTTTTATATCAATATAAACCATCCTAAACCCTTGGATTTGTGTGGAAAAAAAGGTTCTGAGGTGGATTTTTGGGGGGCTTTCGGCTGGTTGTGAGGACAGGATCCGATCCTGGGGGGATAATTAATGATGAAACCTAATTATCTATTAATTAATTAATTCTTCTCCTGGTTAATGAGCTATTTGAGCGCATTAATGGGGATTTGGGGCCGGCCCAGCCCTGCTGAGTGCCCAGCCCTGGCTGAGTCAGTGCCACCTGTGCCAACATTCCGGCTGCCAGCCGGAAAAATCACTCCTCGCTCCTGTTTTTCCCCAGCCCAGGGTGAGTTTTTGGGGATGGGAGGTTTGGAATCCTGGGATGTGTCCGTGTATCCACGTCCTGGGGGGGTCCTGGGTGCGTGGAGAGGTGGATTTAGAGGGTGAAATTCCCTTTATCCCAAGAAAACTGGGCTGGGAAAGGGCTTCATTCCCAGCCAAGGCTGATTCCCTGGGATGAGAGACCTTCCCATCCCGAGTCCCTCATTCTGGGTGCACCGGGATCTTCCCGGGAGGTGCTGGGGCAGCCGTGGAGTGGGATGAATCCCAAATTTCAGGGGGTGCTCTTTGCTCCCGTCCCTCCTTCCCGGGGCCTTTGCTGAGCTGGTTCTGGGATGCAAAACCCCCTCGTTCTTCTGGGAGGCCTTGAGGTGCTTTCTCCCAAGTTTTTGGGGTAGGAAGTGGAAGGCTTGGAAATGAAATTTAAGAAAAAAAGAATTGAAAAATTACTTTAATTCCCAGGAAAAAAACAGAAAATTCACTCCAGTTCCCAGGCAAAAAAAAAATCCAGAAGAATTCACTTCAATTCCCAGAAAAAAAAATCAGAAAAATCACTTTAATTCCCATGAAAAAAAACCAACCAGAAAAACACTTTAATTCCCAGGGAAAAAAACAGAAAAAATAACTTTAATTCTCAGGAAAAAAAAAGAAAAAAAAAAAGAAAAATTCATTTTAATTCCCAGGGGAAAAAAGCAGAAAAATCACTTTAATTCCCAGAAAATTCACTTTAATTAATGATTGTCTAAAAGATGCTTTTGCTGCTTTCTAAAAATAGGTTGGGAAGCGTCTCCCCCTTACAAATGTTGGGATAAGAGGGATAAAATCCTCCCCACCACCATCCTCTAGTCCTGTTCCTGCTTAAAGAGGTTTTCTTGGCTCAGCCCATTATCCCAGGGAAAGGAGTGTTGGTTTTTCCCTGGAGTCACCTGGAGGGCACCAGGATATATTTATATATTTATTGCTTTTTGCCAGGCTTGTTGGGCTGGTTTGGAGCTGGAAAAATCCCGACAGCTCCGGAGTTTGTTTGCAAGGGGCGTTTTCCAGCAGGGCCAGGCCCTGTGCCGGCAGAAAATTCCTTCCCAGCCTGGAAAACACGGATGAAATAGGTAAAATGGGGGTACTTTATATCAAGGATATTGGATTTAATTAAATCCCTGGGTGGGCTCTTCCTGCTGCCTTAAATTCCCTTTTTTGGGGGATGGGGGTGTGTGTGTGTATATTGTATTTTGGGAGGATTTTTTGGGATGTTAAGGTAGTGGGGGAATAACTTGGAATGGGAATGTGGAGCTGCGTTTTCGGCCGGCAGCGGGTGGTTTGGAGGTCAAATATCCCGGGAAAAATCGGCTTTGCCCGGAAACTTTGGGCATTTTGGGCTATCCCTGGGCGTCTCGGCCTCTCCCGCTCCTTGTTTTTCCCCCGCTGGAAGCGAGAGGGTTAACGGGATGCTCCAGGCGGAGGCGATCAATCCCGGTTTAGCGGGATTTGGGAAGCGCTGCCCGGGAAGAAGAGCAGGAGGAGGAGGAGGAGGAGAAGGAGGGGGAGATGCTGCCCAAAATCCCGGCATCCCTCGCTCCAGCCGCTGGAGCGCCGGGCCGAGCTCCAGCCGGGCTCCAACGCCGGGATTTGGGAATCCCGGGGGTCCAGGGGGGAGCCCCCGCCCCGGGCATCCCACCCAGGGCCGCCTCGGGAGCGACCCTCGCCGGGCAGGGGGGTTTTCCCGGGAATTCCCGCCCGGCCGGGGCCCCGCTCGGATGTGGATACAAAGCCGGAGGAGCCGCGGCCTTCCCAGGTCAGCAAATTCCCGTTGTCCCTTTTCCTCGCCCCCCCAGATCCATGGATCCAGCCAGGATTCTATGGATATCCATATGTCCCTATAGAAATCCATGGGTTATCCCAGAATCCCGCAGCGGGAGGACACCCTTCGCTTCCAGCAGCCTCCAGCCATCCCCACCTTTATTATCCACCCACAATTCCCGGGAGTTTGGGTCAATTATGTACAGATAAGGAAAAACAAGGAATGGGGGAGGGAAATCCCCAGGAATACCCACCCACCTCATCCCACCCCCGTTCCTGCCTTTTTCTCGTCCCGTTTTTTTCCCAGCTCCTGAATCCCTCCCGTGTTTTCCCAGCTGGGAATTGCAGCACCTGTGGGAAAACTGATTTTTAGAGAGGTGGGAGCGTCCTCTGGGATGATTTTGGCAGGAAATAATGGCATTTATCCCTATTTCGGAGATCTTTTGGGATATTGGTTGCATTGGAGTGCAAGTTGGGAAGGGGCTGGAATATTTTTTCCCCCCTTTTGCACCGCTTTGAATTATTTTTTAATTAATTAATTGTGTCTTAGGGGAACAAAACAAGTTGCAAAGAGCAGGTTTTTCCCAAAAATACCAGGAAAAATATACAGGAAATCTCTTTTTAGGGTAAAATCCCAATATTTTATCAGGTGCTTGAATAGGTGCTTGGAAAACAAGGAGAAAAATTAGAGATATTGGGCAAGGATGAGCTCAAATCCATTGGTGCCATTACCTGATGCTGATTTTTGGGCAAAGTAAGGTGGGTTTTTTAGCAAAATAATATGGAGTTTGGGCAAAATAAGGAAATTTTTTTTTGCAAAATAAGGTGATTTTATGGAAAATAAGGTGGGTTTGGGGCAAAATAAGGTGATTTCGGGGTGAAATAAAGTGACCCCAGAGCACTGGCAGGAGGAAAAAACACTTCCAAAGGGTGGGAGAGGTTTTAATTTGGATCTTTGGAATAATGCAAACCCCAAATTATTGGGAATTTTAAGCTGGAAACAATAATAGGGCGAAAAAAACACCCATTACTTCATTTTTTTGGCTTTTTAATTGGTATTTCTGATTCAAATTCTTCTCCTTTCAAATTCCTTCCCAAGGTAGTTTTGCAGTGGATGAACTTTGTAAAGTGGGGGTTGGGATAAACGTGGAATTAGGGAGTTTTTTGGCAATAAATGGCTTTTTTCCCAGATTTTGGGGGTCTCTCTGTGAGAAATCTTTGCAGAAAAGACTTTAATTTTTCCTATTTAAGGGCTAAAAATCTGATTTTTCCTGACTTTTCCCTGGTTTTCCTTTTATCCCCGTTTCTCACGGTATGAGCTGGACCAGGGATGGATTTTTTCCAGCTCATCGGTGGCTTTGAAAATGAAAAGCAAAGGAAAACAGTGGCAGTTTTCCAGGTCATGGGATTGTGAGCTGGAATATTAGTGGGATATTTGCCTGGAAAAGCCACTTCAAGGGAAAACAGGGAAAAAAGCTTTTTCTCTAAGTTGACACCTCTCCAGGAGTTTATTGAAAATCTACTCCCAAAACTGCCCTGGATTTTGAATTTTTATGGAATTTTTTCTGGCAGTTTTTTCTGGGAAAACTGTTTTTGTTTTTTAGGGAGAAATTCCATATTTTTTAGGGACCCCCCCATGGTTTTGCCATCATTTCATTCCCACTGCTCCTGGGGCTGCCCCTTGTTCCCACCTTCCCCAATCCCAACCACATCCCAACTCCCAATCCGGGGGATTTTTGAGGACCCTGGATAATTTTTCCCCGCTGGAGCTCTCACTGACACCCTCAAACCTGCCCAGTTTATTCCTTGGAAAACTGGGAAATAAAACCTTTGGCCCCGAAATCCCATTAGGGATGAAAAACTCCCTTTGCTGCAAATATTTGCTGCTTTTTAAGGTTACTTTTGTTCATTTTTAACTGGTTTTTAATTTGAAAATGATTTTTCATTTCAGAGTTGTTTTT